CTTCTCTTGATTCGTCGTCGTCCCTCCATTTTCCTTCGGCGCATGTATTCTCCTGCTTGTACCTCGCCTGTTTTTTCCAACTGGCGTGGGCAAGGGGCAGAGGGGCGTAGTTCTTCACGCTCCGCGTATATCCACCAGCTCATGAAAACAACAATTACCAGGCAAAATGCCCTGATGAGGGTGGTGCAGCAGCATGCCGTTCAGGAGTGAACAACAACCATCGTGCCACCGATGTGTCCACAGTGATCGCTCGCTCGCTGCGCCCAGTATCTGGCAAGTGCTCAACACGTGCCAGATATGTGGACACATCGGGAGAGAAGGCGACGTGGAGGAGGAAGAGGAGGAGGAAGAGGAGGAGGAGGCGGAGAGGAGGAACAGGAAGAGGAATCGGAAGAGGACGACGTTGGTGGTGAAGATGGTGACGACGACGGGAAGAACTACGACGACGACAACGACGGCGACGACAACGATGACGACGACGACGGCGACAACGGCGACAACGATGGCGACTACATCTACGAGTTCGATGGCGAAGGTGGCTTCAATGACGACGACGACGGTTACGATGTCGAAGATGATGACGTTGACGACGGCGACAAGCACGACGACGGCTGACGAAGAAAACGACGACAACGACGACGACGATGATGACCACGGCGGCGACGACGACGACAACGTTGGCGACGACGACGACAAGGACCACGACGAGGATGACTACGATGAGGATGACGATCATGATGATGACGATGATGATGAGCATGATGGCGGCGACGACGACGACGCCTAGGATGACTCCGGCGACGATGGTGATATTGGCGACGACGACGGCGACGGTAGCGACGACTACGACGACGACGACGATTACGATGACGACGGCGATGGTGATGGTGTTGGTGATAATGCTGATGATGATGTTGATGATGATGAATTTGATGATTGTGGTAACGAGGGTGATGCTGTTGATGACGGCGACATCGGTGAGAACGACGGCGACGACGTCGACGACGACGACGAGGACTGCGATGACGGCGATGGGGATGAGGATGGCGACGACGACGACGCCGACGCCGATGCCGATGCCAGTGACGATGGCAACGACGACGACGAGGACGGGCACGACGACGACAACGACAACGATGACGAAAACGACGACGACGAGGACGATGATGGTAATGATGATGATGATGATGATGACGATGATGATGATGATGATGATGATGATGATGATGATGATGATGATGATGATGATGATAATCAAGACGATGCTGATCATGATGATGCTGATGATGATGATGATGATGACTGCAGCACAGACGACGATGACGACGACTTCCACGATGACGACGGTGATGGTGATCGTGATGGTGATCATGATGGTGATGGTGATGGTGAGCGTGCTGATGCTGGCGCTGGTGATCGTGATGGTGATGGTGATGGTCATTGCACAACGATGACTACGACGACGAGGATCATGATGGCGACGACGACGATTATGATGATGATGGTGATGAGGACGAAGGCGACGACGAGCATGGCGATGACGATGACGATGATGAATACGATGATGGTGATGATGATGCTGACGATGACGATCACGTCAACGACGACGACGATGACGACTACAGCGACTGCGATGATGACGACGACGACGATGCCGACGATGATGATGATGGTAACGACAACGACCCCGTGATGACGCTGACGGCGACGACGATGATGTTTATGAACATGATGATGATGATGATGATGATGATGATGATGGTGGTGGTGGTGGTGGCGGTGGTGATGGTGATGGTGATGGTGATTCTGATGATGACGACGATGACGATGTTGACCACGACGACGACGGCCACGACGGCGACGACAGCGACGACGACGACGAAGATGTTGTCGACGACGACGGTGACTACGATGACTGCGATGATGACGATCATCATCATTCTCAGGATCATGATCATGAGGATGAGAATGATGATGACGATGAAGAGGACGGCGACGACGATGAAGACGATGACGACGATGGTGATGACGATCACGATGATGATGGTGATGATGATGGTGATGATGATGCTGGTGATGATGACGACGACGGCAACGACGACGACTATGTCGATGATGATCATGTTGACGACGACGACGACGAAGATGACGACGACAGAGACAACGACGACGACGACGGCGATGACGCCGACGACGACGATGACGACGATGATGATAATGACGACGACGTCGACGACGACGACGAAGATGCTGCCGACGACGACGACGGCGACGATGACGACGATGATGATGATGACGATGATGACGATGATGATGTGGATGATGTTGACGACGACGACAACGCCGACGACGGCGACGACGGGGTGTTTCAGGAAGGCCTCGCCTTAATAGAGGATACAAGGAGTTGGTATCTCTTTCTCGGCGGGAGCCGGCGCACGTAGAACGGGGGCAGTTCCGCTGGCTGAAGCGGGCGGAGGGCCGGCGAAAGGCAGCTGAAGTAAATGATGCGCCCGCCAGAGATGGCAACCTTTCTGGCAAAACATGGGCCGCTGGCCAGTCCCATCCTTGGCCCAGGAGGGGTGTATACCCCCCCTGGCTTACTCACTGCTCATGGGCCCACGACTGGTCTGGCCAGCGGCGGTGGATATGTATAGATCTCGTCGCCCTATCCGAGCGGCTCCCGCCCCAGTGCCCCAACGCCCTGACACAAGGAAAAGGACAACGCCCAAGTTTCTCGCCATGTTCGGCCTGTGGAGCCCGCTTCTGGGCTCCAGGGGCTGTGAAGAGACGACTCAGGATCAGAAGCTGGCCCTGGGCAGAGGGTCGAGTCAGAACTCCCAAAGCCCCTGGATGCCAGGGGTGGCTTGCCTGGATCGGACACTCACCCTTCGGTGCCCTGGAGGGTCGGACGATCTGGTTGGGCGTTTCTGCAGGCTCTCGTCGATTCGGGTGGCGTGCAGCTCGAGAAACTGACCAGCATGGATGCTGGGACTGATCTGGGGACCGATGCGGTGGCTCACGCGCAGGCAGATTTGCGAGTGCTGTATTCTGCTACGTGCTCTTCACCCACCTCCACTTGCGACTGCTGTATTCTGCGACGTGTTCTTCATCCACTTCAATGTGCGCCTGGCCCTCCCCAACCCAATCCTGACTTCATCCCCCTCTTCCATTCCATCTCGAGGCCCCGCTACAGTGGGAACCCATGCCAAGAAACGCCCTGCTTCCCTCCAGGGTGCCCTGGGCCTCTTGGGATTCGATGGCTCTGTTGTGAGAAGAGTGCCGCTCCCACGCCAAGAATCAATGGACGTCCTGGGGTCTCAGGGTTCGGTTTTTCTTGGAAGGCTTCTGGTGGTCGAGCCCGAAGCACTGCCGAAACCAGGCGTGGAGAGGGGAAGAGGAAGAGGAGAATGGGGAGGAGGAGGAGGAGGAGGAGGATGAGCAGGAGGAGGAGGAGGAGGAGGAAGAGGAGGAGGATGATGATGATGAGGAGGAGGAGGAGGAGACTCTGCCACTGCTGTGGCAGAGTCCCACGCCGCTCGCCGGCGGAGCGCACGCGCCGGCGGAGCACATCCTGCGGGGGCGCCGAGAGGCCGCGATCCGCCTCGGGCCAAGGCCGAGTCCGAGGCCACGTCTGGCCACAAACCACGTGAGGTGTCGGGGCATCCCAGGCGAAGTCCACCAGGAGGATAGGCAGGAGGAGCAGAAGGAGGAGGAGAAGGAGGAGAAGGAGGAGGAGGAGAAGGAGGAGGAGGAGGCGGAGGAGGTTGAGGAGGAGGATGAGGAGGAGGAGGAGGAGGAGGAGCAGGAGGAGGAGGAGCAGGAGGCGGAGGAGGCGGAGGAGGAGGAGGAGGAGGCAGATCGTGAGGAGCTTCTGGTCGAGACCCACCCCGCACCAGGCCGAGCCAGGCGCCGATCCGTGCAGCGTGTGAAGGCTTGCCAGGCGAAACTCGCTCCGGACCTAGCCAAGCCATCCACCAGGCCAGGCAAATGGTGAGGGAATCCCAGGCAGAAGCAGGCCCAGGCTGGGGTCTTGTCAAAAAGGGCCTTGCCTTCGGAAGGGCGGCGGAAGGTTGCGGAAGTGAAACATGTGCCCCCAAGAGATGAAAACGTTTCTGGGTTCAGGGTTGCGGAAGTTCGCCACGTGGCCAAGCCAGGCCTCAAACCAGGCAAACTACAATGACCTCGAATGCGAAAGTGGATCCAAGCCGAGCCCTAACCAGGCCATTGGAAAAGGCCCGCGCGTCCACCAGGTCGCAGCTGGCCTTGCATGGCAGTGTTCGTTTCTCCTTCGCTCCACCTCCCCCAGCCAAATCTCTCGCAGCAATCCATGATGCCCCGGTAGAGCCACCGGGAGCGCTGAAGACCGCCTCAAACGCATATTGCCGCATCCCCCCCTCCCACCGCGCCCATTTGGTTCAAGAACAGCGAGGTCCTGGCAGCCTCCCGCTCGGAACGCCAAGTGGCTTGCCCGAAGTTCCAGGACGGCAGAGCCTCCACCCAGTCGTGGTCGTCGTCGCTGTTGCCGTCGTCGTCGTCGTCGTCATCGTAGAATTCGTCGTCGTCGTCGTCGTCGTCGTAGCCGCCGCCGCCGCCGCCGCCGTCGGCATCGCCGTCGCCGTCGCCGTCGCCGTCGTCATCGTAGAAGTCGCCGTCGTCGTCGTCGTTGTCGCCGTCGCCGTCGTCGCCGTCGTCGTCGCCGTCAGCGTCGTCGTCGTCGTCGTCGTCGTTGTCGTCAACCGTCACAGTTGCCGTCGCCGTCGCCGTCGCCGTCGCCGTCGACGTCGCCATTCCCGTTGTCGTCGTCGTCGTCGTCGTCGTCGTCTTAGTCGCCGTCGCTGTCGCCGCCGCCGCCGTCGTCGTCGCCGTCGTTGTCGTCGTCGTCGCCATCGCCGTCGCCGCCGTCGCCGCCGTCGCCGTCGCCATCGTCGTCGTTGTCGTCCCCGACGTGTCCGGCGTCGTCGTTGCCCCCTTGACGACCAGGACCGCACCTGTCGTAGAGCATGACGATCGGACCGCCGAGGCGCGTGTCGTCGCAGCAGGCGGAACGCGAGAACGGCGAGTCTGGTGCCGCGTCTTCGCCAGAGGACTTAGCACAGGCGTGGCTTCACAGCCGCCTGCGCGACCTGAACGAGGATGACGGAGAGGGAGGAGGAGGAGGAGGACCAGTGCAAATCCAAGACGTATCAATGATGTTGCAATGCGCCCTCCCTTCAAGATCCTCCACGTTCCATCTTCATAGGTCCCTGAAGGGAAATTATGCTCATTGCGGGAAGTGGCCCGTCAGAAGACAACAGTCTGAGAATCCTCCATCGTGCCAACACCGTTCTTGGGATTCCAGCGCCGCGGATCAACATGACTGGTGGGTCTTGACAATCCGACATCCTGCTAGAACGCCGCTCCTGCGATTTCAACACTGCAAATCAGCGTGACTGTTAGGTCCCGACAATCCATGACAGTCCTAAATCGGGCCAGAACACCGTTCCAGGGACTTCGACCATGCGAACCCTTGAAACCCCTGGACAATTTTATAGACGAATGTGCGTACCGCCACGTCGGGAGCCACATTCTGAAAAGGAACCGCCCTCCATCCGTGAAACTGCTGCAAACGTTAAAGACGAATGTGCGTGGCGCTGAGGCGATAACCACATTTTGAAAGCCACCCGCCCTGCATCCGTGAAACTGCTGCAAGCTTTTAAGACGAGCGCGGCGCTGAGGCGAAAGCCACATTTTGAAAAAAAACATCAGCCATCCTTGCGTGAAGCTGATAAATGAAACCAGCGCGACCCCAATTAGTTGAAAGCTTCCTATTGCATGGACGCAGTTCTCGGCATTGCTTGGCATTGCTTGGCATGAGGCACCTGGGGAACCCTGGGAACCTCCGAGCACTGGGCAAAGTAACCCCCCGAAGCACCAACCTTTAACCAGGTAAGAACCCCTGAGGCAAGCCTAATTGGGTAGAAATTCAAGCACGACCCCACTCTCCCAGGTCGAGTATCGAGTTGCCCTTTTCTCCTTTCTCGAGAGGGCTGTGCGGCCGCCACTGTGGCGCGCCTGCGCCCGCCGGGCCGGGGATTCGTCCATCCTGACCGCCTGGGGGGGCGACCTTTGGGAACCTCGGGCGGCGGTCGGCATGGATATATTCGGGACCTGGGCTGGCCATTATCCATATCCACCACCTGCCGAGGTCCCCGAAGATCGCCACCTCAGGCGATGGCTGTGGATAAAGCCCCGCCTCGCAGAGGACGACTTCGAGGGAGGACTCCGCATTTTCTGCACCAGTAACCTGGTGCCTCCGGAGGCCTTCCAGGACGTGTGGCACGTGATCTCCAGGGACTCGGACATACGCGAAGGTACACCCCTGCTCAGCGGGGAGGACTCGGCCAATCTGCACACCATCCTTGTGTTCTGCAACCAGAACAGTTGCAACGAGGTCAAGAGGCTCTGCGACATCATCACGAACATAGATACGGGCAGCCAGGACGCCCCGCCGATGTTCTGGGTGCCCCACTCCGCTGCGCCTGGCTCCCAACGCCAGGACAACTCGGACTTAGTGAGGCCAGAGCTGGTGGGTGATCTCTTGCGCAAGGGCCTGGACGGCATCGTGTGCGGCGAGCCAGCGGGGCTGCGACTCTCCATGGCCGTGCGCTCGATGATCCGCAAGTCGGCGAGCCTCTCGCGGAACCTGACCGAAATGGTCGCGGAGACCCGCTCGCGGACGCAGTACGCGGAGTATTTGCAGCATTGCGCGCACGCGGCCCTGTGGGACTACGTGAGGGCCCGCCTGGCGCCCGAGATCCCGCCGGTCGACCACAACCTTGAGCCCGGAGAGCCGCAGGAGCTTCCCGGCTACATCATCGGGAACAAGCTCGGACAGGGGATGTTTGGGTCTGTCTACAAGCTGACGGAGAGGCCCGGGGTGGGCAACAGGGTCCAGGTTGTCAAGGTGGTGTCCACTGAGGCCATCACGGAAATCAGAGACTTGATGTACCTCAACCGCATGATCCGCGTGATGCAGATGCTGAGCGACGAGAAGGCGCGTCATCCGAACATTATTCGCCTTCACCAGACATACCACTCGCCGACGCACATCATCTTTCGACTGGAGTACGGGGGCCCAGAGAACTTGTACCGCCGCCTGCACCACCGCCAAGCACTTCAGCCGGAGAAGCAGCGACCACTGAGCATCGACAGGGTCGTGAAGATCGCCTCGCAGTGCGTCGAGGCAGTGTGGCACCTGCACGCAGTGGTGCAGGTCTGCCACCGCGACATCAAGCCAGAAAATATCATCGTGAATGAGACGCCCGAGACCATCACCATCAAGCTGGCCGACTTCGACCTCTCCGTCATCATCCAGGACGACAGCAAGATGTACCAGAGCCCCTGCGGCACCGTGCCCTTCGCCGCCCCAGAGGTGCTCCGAGATGGTCCCGCCTACGACCCCTGCCCAGCGGACATCTGGAGCCTGGGCGTCGTGCTCGCGGAGGTATTCTGCGGGGTGCGTGTGGTGGAGCTCGCGATCGAGGACGCAGAACCAGAGGTGCGGCCAGAGGGCGAAAACACAACGTGCACCGAGTGCATCCAGACCTTCTTCCAGATGCCTGCCGCGGTTGCCAACATGCTGGAGAAGAGTTGCCGCCCAGAGCTCCGCTCACTGCTGCCCACCTGCAGCGCGATGCTCACCGGGATGCTGGTGGTCGACCCCACTCAGAGGATCGGAGGCGTCATCTAAATGCCCACCTCACCGATATCTGGGCCAGGCCAGGACCAGTGCATGTGTGTGCCCTCCTCTAGGCTGGCTTCTGGTGTGGCTTTCCGGTTTTGCCTTTTTCTGTGTCCTTGCTATGCCAGTGCCATGTGACTGCTATGATATTGGCACGCTGGTGCCATACCATGGCCATGCCTGAGCCATATTATTGATACTTTGCTTGCGCCGTCTTCCCCTGTTTCTTTCGTTCGCCCTCGCTTCTGCCGCGTTGCCGCCGTGCTCCGCTAGGTAGTTCTCGCCACCATCGTACCCCTTTTCCTGCGCCCCGCTGGCGACAGTTGCACTGTTCGCCTTGGCTCTGCGCTGTCCGACCGTTTGACGCTGCGCGGGTGCCCGCCTGCAACGATGCCCAGACGAGTTGCCCTGATCAGAGAAGTGGGGGGAGGGCCATACTGAAAAACGAAGGACTCTGGAAGCCTTCATACCCCAACAGGGGGAAGATGGAGGATGAATCGGAGGAGGTGGAGGAGGGCACGGAGGAGGAGGAGGAGGAGGAGGAGGGGGGAGGAAAAAGGAAGAGGGAAGAGGGAGAAGAAGTAAGAGGACGGATAAGAACGAAGAGGGCGAGCAGAATGGCAAGAGGCCGCTTGGCTTTCTCGGAGTCTCTTGGGATGTCTCTTGGGGGCTTTTTGGAGGCCTTTTGGAGCGTCTTGGGGCCCTCCTGGCGGTCCCGGGGGCCTCTTGGAACGTCTTCGGTGCCTCGGGGGAGCCTCTTGGGGCTTTTGAGGGGGCCGCTTGGCAGCCTCTTGGGGGCCTCATGGGGCTTCCCGGGCGCCTTTTGGAGCCCTGTTGGGGCACTCTTGGGAGCTTGTGGGGCCCTCTGGGAGGCTCCCGAGGGGGTCGGTGGGGTGGTGGAGGGGCGGGGGGATGGGGGGGGTGGAGGGGGGGGGGGACCGGGGAGGGTGGAGGGAGCGCGGAGAGAGGGGTGGAGGGGGGGGGGGGGGCATGCTGTTGCCATGCTGTTGCCATGCGTTTGCCATGCAGTTGCCATGCAATTGCCATGCCATTGCCATGCTGTTGCCATGCAGTTGCCATGCAATTGCCGTGCAGTTGCCATTCGGTTGTCCTGTGGTTGTCATGCAACTGCCATGCAGGTGCCATGCTAACGCCATGTTGTTGCCATGTTATTGCCAGGCGATTGCCACGCAGTTGCCATGCCATTGCCATGCTGTTGCCATGCAGTTGCCATGCAATTGCTATGCACTTGCCATGGTAGTGCTAAGTTGCCATGCTGTTGCCATGCATGTGCCATGTCATTGCCATGCTGTTGCCATGCAGTGTCCACGCAATTGCCATACAATTGCCATGCAATTTCCATGCAGATGCCATGTTATTGCCATGCTATTGCCATGCAGCTGCCACGCAGTTGCCATGCTATTGGTATGCAGTTGCCATGGTTTTGTCATGCAGTTGTCATGCGATTGCCATGCTATTGCCATGCTAGTGCCATGCCATTGCCAAGCTGTTTCCATGCTATTGCCATACAGTTGTCATGCAATTGCCATGCTAGTGCCATGCTGTTGCCATGCTGTTTCCATGCTATTGCCATGCAGTTGCCATGCTATTGCCGTGATGCTGCATGCTGTTGCCATGCAGTTGCCATGCCTAGGCTGGCCTCTGGTGTTTTTTTTTTTCGGTTTTGCCTTTTTTCCTGTGTCCTTGCTATGCTTTTGCCATGCTATTGCTATGATATTGGCTCGTTGGTGCCATACTATGGTCATGCCTGTGCCATATTCTGGACACTTCGCGTATCCCTATCAGCCCGTCCAACAATGATGCCCAGACGAGTTGCCCTGGTCAGAGAAGTGGGGGGAGGGGGCATACAGAAGAACAAAGGGCTCGGGAAGCCATCGTACCCAAACAGGGGGAAGATGAAGGATGAATCGGAGGGGACAGAGGAGGACACGGAGGAGGAGGAGGAGGAGGAATAGGGAGGAAGAAGGAGGAGGGAGAAGAAGTAAGAAGAGGTGGATGAGGACGAGGAGGGCGAGTAGAACGGCAAGAGGCCGCTTGGATGCCCTTCGGAGTCTCTTGGGATGTCTCTTGGGAGCTTTTTTGGAGGCCTTCTGGAGCGTCTTGAGGGCCTCTTGGCGGTCCCGGGGACCTCTTGGAGCGTCTTCGGTGCCTCGGGGGAGCCTCTTGGGGCCTTTGGGGGGCCGCTTGGGAGCCTCTTGGAGGCCTCTTGGGGCTTCCTGGGTGCCTCTTGGGGTCCTGTTGGGCCACTCTTGGGAGCCTTGGGGGCCCTCTGGGAGGCTCCCAAGGGGGGTGGGTGGGGTGGTGGAGGGGGGGGGGATGGGGGGGGTGGAAGGGGGGGGGACCGGGGAGGGTGGAGGGAGCGCGGAGAGAGGGGTGGAGGGGGGGGGTGGGGGGCGGGCCATGCTGTTGCCATGTGTTTGCTATGCTGTCGTCATGCGATCGCCATGCTAGTGCCATGCAGTTGTCATGCCACTGCCATGCTGTTGCCATGCAGGTGCCATGCTAATGCCATGTTGTTGCCATGTTATTGCCGGGCGATTGCCACGCAGTTGCCATGCCATTGCCATACAGTTGCCATGCTATTGCCATGTTTTTGCCGTGCCGTTGCCATGCGATTGCCATGCCCTTGCCATGCCGTTGCCATGCCATTGCCATGGTGTTGCCATGCAGTTGCCATGCAGCTGCCATGAAATTGCCATGCAGTTGCAAAGATATTGCCATGCTGTAGCCATTCGGTTGCCATGGCACGAATGTGCGAGGATGCGCGGCGCCAAGGCGAGAGCCTAATTTTGAAACTAACCGCCCTCCATCCGTCTAAGTGTTGGGAAGTTGGAAGACCAACGTGCTTGGCACCAAGGCCATAGTCCCAGTTCGACAACGAACCGCCCTCATGCTGCGTAAGTGTTGTAACTTTTGAAGGCCAGTGCGCGCAGCGCCAAGGCGAGAGTCCAATTTTGGAGACCACACTCCACCCGTGAAGATGTTGTAAGTTTTAAGCGTCAGGGCTATAAACGGTGAGGAAGCCTCATACGAAACGCCAGGACCACCCGAACGACCAGGCCAGGGGATGCGACAGAGAGTTATTGTCCAAATAGGTTTGCCCTATAGGAGTTCTGTTATTCTCTGCTAATTGGTCCGCTGCCCCCTAATTTCTATCCCCCCCCCTAATTCCTATGGCTACGCCTATGCCTATTCCAATGCCTCCCCCCTGACTCCTATGCCTACGCCTATGTCTATGCCTATGCCTATGCACCACGTCTGAGCGCTCACATGCCTATGTCTATGCCTATGCCTATGACCTGCTTGCCCTTGCTTGCTTGCCTTTGCTTGTTGTTGCATGCTCTGACGCGCTTGCTCTTGCGTGCTTGCTATCGCTTGCTTGCTCTTGCTTGCCCTTGCTGGCTTGCACTTGATCGCTGGCTCTTGCTTGCTTGTTTTTGCTCGCTTGCGCTTGCTTGCCTCCGCTTGCTTGCGCTTGCTTGATGTTGCTCCTCCAGTCCTCCTCCCGTCCTGCTCCCGTCCTCCTTTCGTCCTCCTCCCATCCTCCTCTCGTCATCCTCCTTTCCTCCTATCTATTTGGAGTCAACGCTGGCTGATATCTAGAAGGAGAAGGAATTCAGGATGAGGATGAGGTAGGGGTGATTAGGTAGGTGATCGGAGACCAAACCATGGCAATTGCCATGGCAACCGTTGCCATGGCAACTGCCGCGGCAATTATGGAAACAGTTGCCGTGGCAACTGCCATGGCAACAGTTGCCATGGTAGTTGCCATGGCAACTGTGGCCATAGTTGGCAATGTCAACTGTTGCCGTGGCGACTGCTGCCAGGGCTCCCTAGAGCGAACGGTGCCATGGGCCTCCTCGGGCAAATACCTGAGGCGCTCTGTCCGAGCCCGTTGCCGGCGCATGTGATGGAGAGACCGTTGCAAGAATATTGCCATGGCCATTGCCATGGAGTTGCCATGCAGTTGCCATGCTATTGCCATGCTGTTGCCATACACTTGCCATGTAGTTGCCGAGCTATTGACATGCCATTGCCATGCAGTTGCAAAGCAGCTGCCATGCAGTTGCCCTGCTTTTGCCCTGCTATTGCCATGCCGTTGCTATGCTATTGCCAGGCTATAGCGTGGCAGCACGGCAACTGCAAGGCAATTGCGATGCAGTTGGAGTGCTAGTGCCATGCAATTGCCATTCGATTTCCCATGCAGTTGCAATTATGTTGCCATGCCGATGCCATGCTCTTGCCATGACGTAGGCATGCTGTTACCATGCTGTTGCCATGCCGCTGCCGTGCAGTTGCCATACTGTTGCCATGCTGCTGCCATGCCGTTGCAATGGTGTTGCCATGCTGTTGCCATGCTGCTGCCGGGCGGATGCGATGCTGTTGCCATGCTGTTGCCCTGCAGTAGCGACACTGTTTCAATGCTGTTGTCATGCGGTTCCCCATCCTGTTGAAGTGTCGTTGCCATGCTGTTTCCATTCTGCTGCCACGCTGTTACCATGCCGTTGCCATGCTGTTGCTATGCCATTGCCATGCTGCTGCCATGCCGCTCCCATGCCGTTGCCATGCCGTTGCAATGGTGTTGCCATGCTGTTGCCATGTCATTGCCATGCCGTTGCCATGCTGTTGCCATGCGGTTGTCATGTTGTTGCCATGTTGTTGCAGTGCTGTTGCCATGCTGTTGCCATGGAATTGTCATGCTGTTACCATGCTGTTGCCATGCTGGTCCCTTGCTGTTGCCATGCTGGTGCCGTGCTATTGCCATGCGGTTGCGATGCTGTTGCCATGCCAGTGCCATGCCGTCGCCATGCCGTTGCCGTGTTGTTGTTATGCTGTTGCCATGCAGAGGCCATGATGTTTCCACGATGTTGCCATGTCGTTGCCAAGCTGTTGCCATGCTGTTGCCATGCTGTTGCCGTGCTGTTGCCATGCTGTTGCCATGCGTGTGCGTTGCTGTTGCCATGCCGTTGCCATGCTGTCGCCATGCCAGAGCCATGCCGTTGCCACGCTGTTGCCTTGCTGTTTCCATGCTGTGGCCATGCTGTGGCCATGTTGTGGCCATGCTGTTTCCATGTTGTTGCCGTGCGGTTCCATCTGCTGTTGCCATGTTGTTGTCATTCGTTGTTGCCATGATCATTGCCCATGCTGTTGCTGCCATGCTGCTGCCATGCTGCTGCCACGCTGTTGCCATGCCGGTGCCAGGCCATTGCCGTGCTGTTGCCATGCCATTCCCATGCTCTTGCCATGCTGTTGCGGAGCTACTATCGTGCTCTTGTCATGCCATTGCCATGCTGTTGCCATGCAGTGTCGATGGAATTTCCATGCTGCTTCCGTGCCATTGCCATGTCGTTACCATGCCATCGCCATGCTGTTGTGGGGCTATGTCCGTGCTACTGCCATGCTGTTGCCATGTAGTGTCGATGCCATTGCCATGCCATTGCCATGCCGTTGCCATGCGCTTGCCATGCCATTGCCATGCTGCTGCCATACCGTTGCCATGCCGTTGCCATGCCATGGCCATGCTGTTGCCATGCTGCTGCCATGTCATTGCCATGCCATTGCCATGCTGTTGCCATGCGGTTGTCATGCTTTTGCCATGCAGTGTCATGCTATTGCCGTGCTGTTGCCATTCGGTTGTCATGATGTTGTAATGCTGTTGCCATGCTATTGCCATGTCGTTGCCATGCTGCTGCCATGTTGTGACCACGCTGCGTCCATGCAATTGTCATGCTGTTGCTACGCCGTTGCCAGGCTGTTGCGATGCTACTTCCATGCCATTGCCATGATGTTGCCATGCTGTTGCCATGCTGTTGCAATGCTGTTGCCATTCTGTTCTCCTGCTGTTGCCATGCTGGTGCCATGATGCTACCATGCTGTTGCCATGCCGTCGCCGTGCTGTTGCCATGCGGTTGCCATGCCGTTGCCATGCTGTTGCCATGCCAGTGCCATGCTGTTGCCATGCTGTTGCCTTGCTGTTGCCATGCTGTTGCCATGCAGAGGCCATGCTGTTTCCACGATGATGCCATGCCGTTGTCATGTTGTTACCGTGCTATTGCCATGCTGTGGTCATGGTGTTGCCATGCTCTCCCGATGCTGTTGCCATTATGTTGCCATGTCATTGACATGCCGTTGCCATGCCGTTGCTATGCTGTTGCCATGCGTTTGTCATGCAGCTGCCATGCTGTTGCCATGCGGTTGTCATGCAGTTGTCATGCTATTGCCATGCGATTGCCATGCGGGTGTCATGCGATTGCCATGCTGCTGTTGCCATGCCTTGGGCATGCTGTGGGCATGCTGTTGCCACGCCGTTTTCATGCTGTTGCCATTACGTTTCCATGCCATTGCCGTGCCGTTGCCATGCTGTTGCCATGCTGTTGCCGTGCTGTTGCCATGCGCTTGCCATGCTGTTGCCATGATGTTGTCATGCCGTCGCCATGATGTTGCCGTTTTGCTGCCATGCGGTTGTCATGCAGAGGCCATGCAGTTTCCACGATTTTGCTATGCCGTTGCCATGATGGTACCGTGATTTTGCTATGCTGTTTCCATGTTGTTGCCATGTTGCTGCCATGTTTTTCCCATGCTGTGGCCGTGCTGTTGCCATGACATTGCCATGCCGTTACCATGCTGTCGCCATGCCCGAGCCATGCTGTTGCTACGCTGTTGCCATACAATTACCATGCCATCGCAATCGCCATGCCATCGCACTGCCAATGCAGGATGACTTGCGGGACGACTCGCGGGGTGATTTGGGCGGGTCCAAGCGGGAATGCCAGGTCCCTGATTTCAGGAATCTCCTGAAAATTAACCTGGCGAAGGACCCAACCATATGCAGTTGTGAGCACCGTCGTTGTATGCACTGCATTCGGAGCAAGCAAGCAAGTGAGTCGTACACCAAGCGGTGCGTGGACAGGAGAGGAACAGTACGCTACAAACGCGATACATGTCACAAAAAAGTTATCCTAAGTTAAGCTGTGAGAATGTGACGGCGCAGCGTGTGCTTCCAAGCGGGTCCAGACTGAGCTGCTGCCGACGCCGCGTGAACATCACCAAATATGCGGGCGGCATGCTTCAACATCGTTGGGGCAAACTCTCTGCTCGGCGCGCCGACGCGCCTCACGACGACCGCTGCCTTCGGCGTAAGAGACTTCGGTGCGAACGTGCAGCGACGCAGCAAGCTGTTCTCACTTGCGCGCAGCACGTCGCCGAACAGAAGCATCTACCTATACAACAATTGGGTGCTAGCTGCCGTGTGCCCGGCGCGGCTCAATACCTCCGCATTTGATACCCTCGACAGCCACGACGGGCGCACGCCGATTATTTGCCTGATGCCCCTGTTTTGGAAACCGTCCAGACGGCGTATCCGGGCTTTGTTCATCATGGTGCCAGCCAGTCCGTAAAGCATCTTAGACTCCACCACAGAAGCAAAGATACGTATTTTGCGACACCATGTCAAAGATAAATGGGACCACAATTTACTGAGCGACGAAATATCCGTTTTGCCTCGCCGATCTTGCGCCCCAGCTCCGGCCCACCGTCAGCGTCCGAGGACAAGTGCGCGCCCAAATACTGAAGCCGGTCGACATGTTTAAGAACGGTGCCATCTGGAGCTCGAATGTCACCGTTGGCCTTCACAGCAAGGACTTGGAATTGTTCACGCTTCGCGAATCCCCACCAGCCCATCCTAAAACAGCCACTTTAGCAAAGAGTACCGACTGTCGGGATTTGTTGGTCATCTTTTCAGCAATGATGCCCAGAAGAGTTGCTTTGATTCGATCAGGGAAGTGTGGGAGCATACAGAGAAACGAAGGACAGGGGATGCCGCCATCTCCCAACAGGGGAGGATGGAGGAGGAATCGGAGGAGGAGGTGGGGGAGGGAAGGAGGGAGGAGGAAGAGGGGGAGGCGGACGAGGAGGGGAGGACGAGCAGAAGGGCCAGAGGCCTCTTGGATGCATCGCGGAGTCTCTTGGGATGTCTTTTGGGAGCCTCTTGGAGGCCTTTTGGGGCGTCTTGGGGGCCTCTTGGCGGCCCCAGGGGCTTCTAGGAGCGTCTTGGGTGCCTTGGGGGAGCCTCTTCGGGCCTCTTGGGAGCCTCTTGGAGGCCGTTTGGGGCGTCTTGGGGGCCTCTTGGCGGCCCCAGGGGCTTCCAGGAGCGTCTTGGGTGCCTCGGGGGAGCCTCTTGGGGCCTCTTGGGGGCCTCTTGGGGGCATCTTGGGGGCCTCTTGGAGGCCTCTTGGGGCCTCTTGGGGCTCTTTGGGAGGGGTCTGGGAGGTATCTTGGGGCCATCTTTCGGGCGATCGATCACAGATGGGGCGAGCATTTTTCTCCCTCCCCCCGTCGGGGCCACGATCCTCGTGAGGGGTGTCGAATTTTAGCCCTCCCAGGAGTCGAAAAAGACCCCTCCAACGACCCGCGAAAGGACCTCTCCAGGCCCAGGGGGAGGGGGTAGGGGGAGGGGTAAACCCCTCCCCGAAGGGGAAGAAGGGGGTTGAGAACAGAGCGGGCTCTCTAAACCACTCACGCCCAAAGGGCTGGTGGGATTTGTCCCAATGCAACTCCATGCCATACCGCCGTCCTCCTTCTGCGACTGCCTTCAGATACTCGTTTAAGCACGCGTCGTCCGTTCCGATCAGCAGAGTGTCGTCCGCGTAGATGCAATCACACATGTCCCCGTTGGCGTACGCATCTTTCGTAACCCCTTCCAATCGCCCAACAGCATCATGTAATAGCACTGTCATGACGATGATATAAGCAGTGGGCTGAGCGTACAACCCTGCGATATGCCTGAAAGCTGCTGTCTTGGTGCGGAATCGTTGCCACATTTGTTCACGACGAACATCCTCACCGTCATCATCACGCGTATCATGTCGCGGAATTCGATCGGGATCCCCACGCGCTTGAGCGCGTCCAAAAGACTGTCGGTGTTGATGCTGTCGAATGCCTTCTTCCAGTCGAGCGCAACCAGAGTAACTGATCCATTCTTCTTAGCTCGTGCCAATTCGATGTGCCGCCTCGCTGCGTATATGGCGTGTTCCGTGCTGCAGCCCGCCCTGAAGCCGAACCGGGTAAGCCACAGCCTCTCGTCGACGCCAGCGTCCAGCAGCCTTTGCTTTGGCATGGCAGAGAAGAGCTTCATGGCGATGCATTGTAAAGACAACGGGCGGTAGTTGTCGCAATTTGCTGGGTCCCTTTTCTCATATACTAGTCGCACTGTAGATATGCACCATGCGTCTGGGAGTTCCTTGTTGGCCCACGCTGCATTGCAAATGTCCAACACCCATCGCAACTGCCCAGGCTCGTCCGCCAGCGCCTTGTACACCTCCGCCGGGATGTCGTCGGGCTTGCACGCTTTCCCGTAATGCATTTTTCGCAAAGCTGTCCGGAGCTCCGCCTCTGTGAACGAATCCAATTTGACGTTAAGGCCGGAGTGGATAACGTCATCTGTGCCCGGCGTGAGCGTGACGTAGCGCACGTGCCATTGTATCGTATCCAGATGTTGTGCGAAAGTCTCTGCACGCTCGTCTGTGGCGACGGGGGTCCCTTGGCTGTTGTGCAGCCGGCCTTGAGGTCTCGCCTTGCGTTTTGTAATTCTTTTAATGTAGCTCCAATCTCCAGAGGCAGTCAGATCTTCTAACCTCCGTCCCCGATCTTTTTTTAGCTGACTGTCTGACTAGTCTCCTAAGCCTCTTTTCTGCTTCCCAATCTCCGTCTGCGCGAGCCAGCCTCCTCTCGTCTAGCAGAGACAAAGTGCGCTGAGAGATCCATGGCTTATTCGGCTTGCGCTCCACGTCCGGCAAGATCGCGTCAGCAGCTGCCAACACCGAGTTCGAAATGGAAGGCCACCGTTGAGACGCAGAACCGTCTTGAGGCAACGACCCTGCCACGCATGACACTTCCAGTGAGAAAGATCTTCGTGCGGAGGGCGAGCGGAGTTTGCTCCAGTCTTTCCGCTTGCGCCTTTGCGCCGCCTGTTCCTGCTGCTCCGTTGTGTCGCCGGCCATGAAATTTGCCACCATGGGGAAATGATGAGAGGCGAGAGTGGTGTTCGTGTCGCCGCGAATGTCCATCAAGTCCCTCTCCAGATCTGCGGGCACCAGTAATAGACAGAGAGCGCTATAACCATTGGCCGTAATCGGACTCCCAGGCCGGACAGATGGTTCATGATATGTCGCTTTGAACTGTGGGGGCAAATCGAAGACAGTATTTGCAACAAGGAAATCGAAATCCGTCCAAAATTCCATGAACAGATCTCGGATGGGAATCTCTGTCTTCCTCACCACCTCGCGCCCGAACGAATGCTCACCCATGATGCCCTCTTCACCGGCACGTCGCTTGCCGAGTCTGGCATTCCAGTCACCGAACACCAGACGGGGACCATACCCGGGGAGTGCCCCCATGTGGCGCTGCAGGCGATCGTAAAAATCAAACTTTTCATCTGTCGGCCTCTCATTGTGTGGTACGTACACAGTGCATAACGTAAGCCGGCCAGAGCCCGTGCGGACCTTTGATCGAGGCGATGCGGTTGTCCAGCTGCCAGTACCCGCAAACTCGTGGGCGAAAAGCTTGGGATATCACAAATCCTACGCCTGCGAACTCAGGGTTGGTCCCCGCCGCGCCCGACAGCACCACCAGGTAGCCGTCCTCGGTACCATAATGGTCGGAATTTGGCCGGCGCGTCTCCTGCATACACATAATGTCGATATAATGATCCCGCATGTACCTACACACCTCTGCTAACTTCAACTCTGTCATACCTTCGATGTTCCACGAACCAACACGTACAAAACTGCCAAAATTGTTGCGGCCCATACTTTGTAAGTCCGCGCCTTCGCCGCTCTCTGCCGTGAGGGGTGAAACTACCTGTCTGCCCCCACACTGCTGTGACCCCTACATGGGGTTACCTCCCTTCCCTTTGCCGTTGCTCTCGTTGAAGGCCTTCGCCCTGTCGAGCTTCTCCTGGGCCCCGGTGGTGATCTCGGAGAGCTCTGCTGATGACTGTAGTGCGCCCCATTTTTTCCACTCCCGGTCCACCCACTTCAGCTCCAACCGGAAGTCTTTTACAATCGTCTTGGCCACCACGGTCCCCGCAACCGACAAAGAGTACTCATCTATGTTCACCTTGATGCACTGTTTGTTGTAGCCCCACGTCGCCAACATGCGGCGGAGCCCGAAGAGAACGCTGTGCTGCGTGCGGATGTCGATGGGGAAGTCCGGCTTCGCCCAGACTGTTCCCGACCCCCCCCGGCTGCCCCTTCGCGAAGTCATCGACCCTGTCGAGGAACTTCTGGCGCGACGCGTCGGACCAGAACTTGATGAAGAACACGCCCTTGAACTCGCTCTTGCAATAAAGGTCGCGCGCAGCGGGTACTGGAAGACCATGGTCCGAACACAAAGTAGATGCCCATTTTGCCGCATCCTCAAAAGTCTTCGCGTTCGGCACGTTCCCCATGACGGCCGCTGCTGCTGATGGATTGTGTGTCGTAGACTGATTGCGCGGGGTCGTGCATTGCGACAGGGTCTCTTCGATCATCTTGGCCACGCTTTCCCTGGTGATGGTCGTCTCCTGAAGCTTGTTCAATTTGTCTTCCATGCTGCTGAGTGTCGTGCCCTCCTCATTGGACTCCAGGGTCGTGATGCGCGTCTCCATCGTGTCCACCTGCAGCTTGATCGACTCGACTGCCTTCGTAACTGGATCGAGCCTCTCTTTGAACTTCCTCTCAAGGATGGTCTCCATGACGTCGGTGATCGCCTTGATGGTGACGGAGCCTGAAGATGATGCCGGTGTACCTTCGGGCGGGGCGGTGGGAGCATGACCTGGACCAAACAGCACAGGTGGAGGAGGTAGGACAGATTTCTGGTCGTTCAGGTCGTCGTTGCCGTCCATCTCGAGAAGTGGGCTGTGAATCCGGTGTTGCTTAAGCACCTCTTAGACCGGGGTGCCTGGCATACGTTTGTCACCAGAAGAAGACATCTCATCACAGCGGTATCGAGTGTAAGGAAGATGAAAGGATGAAGGGGAGAGGAGACCAGTGTTGGTTAGGTAAGGGAACTTTGCGTCAGCAGATGTGTAGCCAGCTCGGACTAGCCCTGAACTTGAGCTAAAGTGAGCTTGAGCTTGAGCTGAGCTTGAGCTAAAACTGCCTTAGTGAGGGGTGTGCCGAAATGTGTCCGGTGGGCGCATGCGCGCATGCGTAAGCAGCCATTGGGGCGGTCGGTGGAGCTCTCTAGAGGCCACGGAACGAGTGAGAGGCGTGCCGAAATAGGTGCGGTGAGCGCATGCGAACGCAGCCACTGGGGCCGTCGGTGGCGCTCCCAATAGTGCCGCGAAACGTGTGATGGGTGTGCCGAAAGGCGCATGCGAACGCAGCCAGTGGCGCCTTCGGTGGAGCTTCCTTTTGGGCCTTCCGTGGAGCTCTCATGGGGCCACGAAACGCAAGAGGGGTGTGCCGAAATAAGTGTGCGTGACGCATGCGGGCGGTGGCTCTGGGGCCTTCGGTGGAGCTCCCTATCGGGACACGAAACGTGTGAGGGGGGTGCCGAGATGGGTGTGCGTGACGCATGCGGGCGGTGAGACTGGGGCCTTCGGTGGAGCTCCCTGCGGGGCCACGAAACGTGTGAGGGGTGTGCCGACATGGGTGTGCGTGACGCATGCTGGCGGTGACACTGGGGCCTTCGGTGGAGCTCCTTGTGGGGCCACGAAACGTGTGAGGGGTGTGCCGAAACGGGTGTGCGTGACGCATGCGGGCGGTGGCACTGGGGCCTTCGGTGGAGCTCCCTATGGGGCCACGAAACGCAAGAGGGGTGTGCCGAAATCAGTGTGTGTGTGTGTGTGTGTGACGCATGCGGGCGGTGGCAATGGGGCCTTCGGTGGAGCTCCCTGCGGGGCCACGAAACGTGTGAGGGGTGTGCCGAATCTGAATGTGCGTGAAGCATGCGGGTGGTGGCAATGGGGCCTTCGGTGGAGTTCCCTGTGGGGCCACGAAACGTGTGAGGGGTGTGCCGACATGTGTGTGCGTGACGCATGCGGGCGGTGGCACTGGGGCCTTCGGTGGAGCTCCCTGTGGGGCCACGAAACGTGTGAGGGGTGTGCCGAAATGGGTGTGCGTGACGCATGCGGGCGGTGGCACTGGGGCCTTCGGTGGAGCTCCCTGTGGGGCCGCGAAACGTGTGAGGGGTGTGCCAGAAATGGGCGTGCGTGACGCATGCTGGCGGTGAGACTGGGGCCTTCGGTGGAGCTCCCTGTGGGGCTACGAA